CAGCAAAGCATCTCTGAGCAAGTTAGTATTTATGGTAAACAAGTGGCATCTAGAATGGGTCATTCTGTTTTTCTTGATGTGAGGATTCTTATTTGTACCTGCTCTGTCCTGTCTGTCTCTCTATCAATCTGTCCTCTGCCGGTGACACGTAATTCAGTCTAATGCTACCCAGCAGAGCTGGCATGTCCACTTGAAGAGATCAGGTTCAGAAGGGCAAAGGAGTTTGCATGGGAACCCTATTGCCTCTCGGGATGGAGCTGTCGCTTGCTGCTGGGGATAAAGGAACTCAGCACGCTGCCTTCTGGGGCTTTGCACACCTCTGTGGAGAAGAACTCACCCTGTTCTAGATGTTTGTGGCTGCTTTCTAGAGCTTGGTCCAAAGCTTGGAGCATCTGCAGAGCACTGCAGCATCAGAGAGGTCCAGTCATCCAGTACATTCTCCCAAGATGCCTCCCTCTTGCAGCATGACTCCTACCTATAGGTGCAGGAAGTAGGAGTGCAGGGGGCTGCTGCACCCCCAGATTTTGCACCTGGGGGCCAGCCCTGCAGCCACCCCACTGCTGGCTTCACCAGCCCCAGGTCCTGGTCCCTCTGCCACTCTGGTTTCACTACTGCTTGCTGGCTTTGAAGTCTCTGCTGGCCCTCAGAGTCCCATCTCCCACAGACCTGCCCTCAAAGGCTTTGCAGCCCACCAGCCCTGGGGACCAGCCCACCAGCCCTGGAAGCTCTGCTGCCACCTCAGGTCCCACTGCCAGTCTGCAGCTCTTCTCCTGGCCTTGGCCCATCTCTGGTTCCTCCAAGGGGCTAGGGTTGCCATCTCTCCCGGACTGCACTGGATGCCATTGCTACAAATGGTGTGTGGTTGTTCTGGTCTAGGAGATCTGGCAACCACTGGAGGAGCAAAAACCTGGTATAAAAGGGGAGCACAACTCAGCAGTCCCACCTAAAAATTGTTACAGCATCACTGCTCCCACTGGGGCTCTTATGTTTCCTCTCTGGGCAGGCTAATGCCCCTGCTCTCAGGTGCACGGTAGCCTGTAAAAGAGCTCTGTGTAATGCCAGCAGTAACTTATGTGGCTGCTCTGCCATGAGCTACCCAAGAGGTGATGCCTTGAAGGTGCTGGACATGTCCCACCCTGACACACCTCTGAAAGCTTCCTGGCGTTCACACCACGGTGTTTGTGGAGTTGGGCTTCGGGTGAGGAGGTCTCCAGCGCAAGGTTTGTGTAAAGGCTTAAGGCTGTTTTATTGTGTTCTGATGTAAGTATCCCGCCAAGGACAGGGTGCAAAGGGACTCTACGATGCCCCAATGAAATGAGACTGCTTTAGATTACTGGGAAAACATCCACTTAGGTCCCAGCAGGCTCAAGCGTGATCCTTAAAGAGTGGCTGTACACATCCCGCAAAACAAATCCTGTTTTCCAGTGGGTATTTTATTCCCTCGGCCAAGATTTTAAAAAATGATCCATAATCTCGGGATCCTCTTTTTGGCTGCTGGATTGGAGACTGCTTAGGGGGGCTTTGTTTTTCAGAGGGGTTGCTCGTCTCTTTCTGGAAATCAGGGTTCTTCTATAAGAGGTATCAAGTGAGGACCCTGAAATTACTAGTTGCTTTTCAAAGTCCTGGCTTTGTATTTTATTTTAACATTGTTCTTTCCTTGCTAGGCTGAGAATTGCCCCCAGAGTGCATACTAGCACCAGTGACATAGCATGGAATGAACATAGGCTCCATACCCATACAAAACTGACGGGACGAGTTTCTCTGTGCAAGCTTAATGGAATGCAAAACACTAGCTATGCAAATTGGTGGAGTGTTTTAACAATCTGTGGTTTTGAACCCAGTGAGAGAGATCTTGTCAGTGCCCCTTTAATTTATCCAGACACTTGCATTTTCTTAGCTATCTCCTGAGATAGTGCTCTGTTGCAGTGGTTACAAGTCTCAGAGGGGTAGCCGTGTTAGTCTGTAACAACCAGTAGTCCTGAAGCACATTAGAAACTAAAAAAATATATTTTTGTTAGCCTCTAAGGTGCTACTTGTTGCTATTTTTTATTGCAGTAGTTTTCAAACTTTTTTCTGGTGACCCAACTGAAAAAAACTGTTGATGCCTGAGACATAGTGGAGCTGGGAATAAGGGCTTTCGGGGTGCAGGAGAGGATTTAGGGCTGGAGTGCAGAGATGAGGGCTGTAGGATGGGGCTAGTGATAAGGAATTCATGGTGTAGGAGAGTCTCTGAATTCGTGTAGGAGATTAGGACAGGACCGGTCAGGGCTGGTGATGCAGGCTGTGAGATGGAGACACAGATGTGGGATTTAGGGTGCAGGAGACTCTGGGTTTGGTAACATTCAGGGCTGGGGCAGGGGATTGGAGCATAGGACTGGGGCATGGGCTTGCCTTCCAGGGCTTCTGGTTAGCAAGGGTGTGAAGGCTGGCTTCCTGCCTGTCTTGGCACCATTGACCTTGCTGTGCCCCAGAAGTGGCCAGCAACGGGTCTAGGTCTTAGACAGAAGCATGCAAGCAGCTACACATAGCTCTCACCTGCAGGCACTGACCCTCCCCAGCTCCCATTGGCTGGTTTCTGGCCAATGGGAATGTGGAGCTGGTGCTAAGTAGGGGCAGTGTAGGAAGCCCCATGGCCTTGCTACCTAGGTGCCAGACCTGCTGCTGGGCACTTCTGGGGTGCGGCACGGTGTCAGAACCAGTCGGGATCGGCCAAAGGTTTTCAGTCTCTGGGTTGTGACCCAGCCTGAGCTGGCCACCACGGCATGGAACAAGGTGACCCAGCGCCTAGGACCGGGTCACGACACTCACTTTGGAAAGCACCGCTCCATTGTGTCCTGGGGCAGGGAGAGGGGCATCGTTTAGGACGTAGTTGGGTCTGGGCAGGGGAGCCGAGGAGGTTGAAATCCCCACTATTACCCCTTGCTGGTTTGGATCTGCCCTCATTGCTTCTTTGCATGGTGTGCTTCCCTCCTCCAGCCAACGGGCAGTAGGCAGAGTCATGCCCCCTGAGTGCCATAGCTGGGGGTGCGAAGGAAGAAAGAGATGTACCTTGTAAGGGGGTTTAGCAAACTATTCCCTCCTATTTCCACCTGCTCCCCCACTCCTCCCCAGTGCAAGAGGGGAGCACTGAGGAATTATGCCCAGCTACCCTGAGATCATGTGTGGCTATAACACAGTGTGCCAGAGCTAGCTTTGCTCACACAGTGGGGCTGTGAAGCTGACAGCCTGGATTTCACTGCAAGGGCTGTACAAACCCACCCCAGACTGTGGGAGATGGTTCATGTGACCAGTGTGTGCAGTGCTGCTGCAGCTTTGCTGGTACGTTCCCTCTAGCTCACTAGATTACAGGCAGCTCACATGTGGCTACACAAGCTGCAGCTGCAGCTGCACCCCATGACTGCCGGACAGACGTATTCTTCCAGGGCTGTCTGTGTGCACTGACACAATTGGCTTGTAGATGCACCTTCACTGCAAGCATGCTGGGCAATTTCCTTCACTGCTCCGTGCCTCAACTTACCTCTGTAAAATGGGGATCATGATCCTTCCCCCTCTTGCATCCACCTGTGTACAGGGCTTCAATGTCTGGGGAATGGAGGCTCTTGGCACCTGCGTTGTGTGTGGGGATTGGAATTAGAGCTTGTGAGGCTGAAACCTGCTTCCGGAAGCCTTAAGTGTATTGCTCACGTTCCTGCCTGACTCCAGAACAGTTCTGTGGCAAAGAACAAGATGCTGGCCCTGCTGGGCAGTGTTCCTTTGCTTCGCTGATCTCTGGGTTAAATATGGAAGAGATTAAATGACAGACTTAACACCGACCACTCACACCCCCGAACTGAGATAAAAGTTCAAAGTTTGCATTTCACTCTCTCAGCGTGTGGGCGCTCAGTTAAGTCCATCCAACCAATCCTCAGGCCACCTAATGAGTCTTAATGCACTCTGAGAGCCAGGCATTAGAGCTCAAGGACTTGCATATATTAAGGGCCCTGTCCGGAGGTCCTCACTCTCAGGCAAACCCCCCACCACCACTGACATCAGTGACGAAGTGGCCAAAGTTAGGATGCAGAATGAGGCTCTGTGGGTTAATGTTGCAGATAGGAGAACAGGGCAGAGGCAGCAGGGTTTTCATATCTGCCTCCCTGCAGCCACTTCGAAAGTTGTCTTGTTTTCTGTACCCTTGCCTCTTGTAACATTAAGCCCCAAAGGCCAGATTTTCAAATGTCCTCCTCAGTCACTTCTAAGGCTACATCTAGACAGCGGGGCTATTTCGGGATGCCGGAAGTATCCCAAAATAGCAATTCTACGTCTTTAAAAGTGCCCGTTATTTTGAAATATATTTTGAAATAATGGGCACGCTATTCCAGCGTCCCTGAAACCCTCGTTCCATGACGGTTAAGGGACTGGTCAGAATAGTGCTTTATTGGAAAATTTGGCACTGTCTACACAAATTGTTTCGAAATAACATAGTGCAAATTGCGTTGCTTATTTTGAGGTAAGAGTGCTGTGTAGATGCACCCTACGGCTATGTCTACACTGGTGGGTTATTGCACAAGAGCGGCTGTTCTTCCACAGAGCTATGTCCACCTGCTCTTGAGCAAGGAGATTTATAGTAAACTGTGGTAAGAGAGGGCTTCTTGCACAAGAGCTATGCTCTTTTTTAACAAGTGTAAGCCCTCTTGCGCAGGAGCTATTGGGCAAGAGGGCAGTATGGATGCGCCGTAGGGATTTCTTGCTCAAGAAAGCCCTATGGCTAAAATGGCCATCAGAGCTTTCTTGTGCAAGAGAGCGTCCACACTGCCATGGATGCTCTTGTGCAAAAGCACAGCTCGCACATGGCAGT